TGAGATGCACTCAAAAGGTTGGTGATACAGTACAGGCTACATTCCAAAGATTTTGTGTTTGTAAAAGAATGTGTAAAATTTCATAACTTTTTAATATTGACTGTATGTTGACATAATATTTTGGATATTTTAGATTACTTAAATTAATTTCACCTGTTTCTTTTTACTTTAAAAAATTTTTTATTTTATATTGGCGTATAGTTGATTAACAATGTTGTGTTGGTTCCAGCTGTACAGCAGAGTGATTCAGTTATACATATACATGTATCTATTCTTTCTCAGATTCTTTCCCCATTTAGGTTATTACAAAGTATTGAGCAGAGTTCTCTGCTCTACAGAGGTGCTTGTTGGATATCTATTTTAAATACAACAGTGTGTACATGTCAATCCCAAACCCCCAGTGTATCCCTCCCTTCCACCCTTTCCCCTCTGGTAACCATATTTTCTTTCTCCAAGTCTGTGAGTCTGTTTCTGTTTTGTAAATAAGTTCATTTGTGTCATTTTTTTTTTTTAGATTCCACATGTAAGCAATATCATAGGATACTTGTCTTTCCTCTGTCTGACTTACTTCAGTTAATATGATAATCTCCAGATCTGTCCATGTTGCTGCAAGTAGCATTATTTCATTTTTTTTTAATGACTGAGTAATATTGTGTTGTACATATGTCCTACATCTTTATCCATTCCTCTGTCAGTGGACATTTAGGTTGCTTCCGTGTCTTGGCTATTGTAAACAGCACTGCAATAAACACTGGGGTGCATGTATCCTTTCACACCTTGTTCTTCTCTAGATACATGCCCAGGAGTGGGGTTGCTGGATCACATGGTAGGTTCACCTACCATATGTGGCAAAGAATCCGCCTGCAGTGCAGGAGCTGCAGGAGACTCAGGTTCGATGGCGTGGCCACCCACTCCAGGATTCTTGCCTGGAGAATCCCACGGACAGAGGAGCCGGCGGGCTCTAGTCAGATATAACTAAAGCGACTTGTAGTAGCTCTATTTTTAGTTTCTGAAGAAACCTCCATACTGTTCTCCATGGTGACTGTACCAGTGTACATCCCCACTAACAGTGTAGAAGGAATCTCTTTTCTCCACACCCTCTCCAGCATTGACGATGGCTGTTCTGACTGATGTGAGGTGATACGTCATTGTGGTTTTGATTTGCATTTCTCTAATCATTAGCAGTGTTGAGCATCTTTTCACATACCTCTTGGCTGCCTGTATGTCGTCTTTGGAGAAATGTCTATTTAGGTCTTCTGCCTATTTTTTGATTGCTTTTTTTTTTTTTTTTTAAATTTTGAGCTACATGAGCTCTTTGTAAATTTTGGAGATTAATCCCCTGTTGGTCACATTGTCAGTATTTTCTCCCATTTTGTGAGTTCATTTTCCTTTCATTTTGTTTGCTTTCCTTTACTGTGCAAAAGCTTCTGAGTTTTATTGGGTCCTTTTTGTTTATTTTTGTTTTTGTTTCCATTACTCTAGGAGATGGGATGAAAAAGATATTGCTGTGATTTATGTCAAAGAGTATTCTGCCTATGTTTTCCTCTTAAGAGTTTTATAGTATCAGGTGTTACACTTAGGTCTTTAATTGTTTTGGGTTTATTTTTGGGTATGGTGTTAAAAAATGTTCTGATTTTATTTTATTTTTTACAGGTAACTGTCCAGTTTTCCTGGCACCACTTTTTTAAGAGACTGACTTTTCTGTGTTGTCTAGACTTGTCCCCTTTTGTCATACATTAACTGACCCTACATGTGAGGGTTTCTATCCTGGTTTTTTTGTCCTGTTCCATTGATTTATGTTTGTGTTTTTGTGCCAATACCATACTGTTTTGATGACTGTTGCTTTGTTGTATAGTCTGAAGTCAGGGATCCTGATTCCTCCAACTCTGTATATCTTTATCAAGATTGCTTTGGGCATTTGGGATCTTTTGTGTCTCCATACAAATTTAAAAAAATTTTTGTTCTAGATCTGTGAAAAATGCCATTGGTAATTTAATAGGGATTGTTCTGAATCTGTGATTGCCTTGGATAGTATAATCATTTTAACAACATTGATTCTTCAAGTCCAAGAACATGGTATATTTTTCCATCTGTGTCACCTTTGATTTCTTTCATCTTATAGTTTTCAGACTATAGGTCTTTTGCTTCCTCAGATAGCTTTATTCCTAGGTATTTTATTCTTTTTGAAGCAGTGGTAAATGGGGTTGTTTCTTTAATTTCTCTTTCTGATCTTTCATTGTTAGTGTGTAAAAATATCCACAGATACTTTTAAACAGATTTCTATGTGTTAGTTTTGTATCCTGCAACTTTATAGAATTCATTGATGAGCTCTGGTAGTTTTCTGGTAGCATCTTTAGGATTTTCTGTGTATGGTATCCTGTCACTGCAAACAATGACAGTTTTATGTCTTCTTTTTCCATTATTTGGATTCCCATTGTTTCTTTTTCTTCTTTGATTGCTGTGACTAGGAATTCCAAAACTATGCTGAATAAAATTGGTGAGAGTCAACATCCTTGTCTCATTCCTGATGTCAGAGGAAACGTTTCAGCTTTTCCTGGTTGACTGTGATGTTAGCTATAGGTTTGTCATATATAGCATTTGTGAGGTATGGTCCCTCTATGCCTAATTTCTGGAGAATTTTTGTCTGTATTATAAATGAGTGTTGAATTTTGTCAAAAGCATTTTCTGTATCTATTGAGATGATCATATGATTTTTATTCTTCAATTTTTAAAATTAATTTTATTGGATTATATTTGCCTTATAATGTAGTTTCTGTGGTGAAACAAATTGAATTAGGCATATGTATACATATGTCCACTCTTTTTTAGGTTTCCTTCCCATATTTTTCAATTTGTTGATGTGGTGTATCACACTGATTGATTTGTAGATACTGAAAAATCATTGCAACTGTGGGATAAATCCCACTTGATTATGGTGTATGATCCTTTTAATGTATTGGCAGATTCAGATTGCTAGTATTTTGTTGAGAATTTTTACGTCTAGGTTCATCAGTGATATTGGCCTGTAGTTTTCCTTTTTGTAGTATTTTTGTATGGTTTTGGTATCATTGTGATAGTGGCTTCATAGAATGTGTTTGGGAATGTTCCTTCCTCTCAATTTTTTGGAAGAGTTTCAGAAATATAGGTCTTAACTCTTCTCTAAATGTTTGATAGAACTCACCTGTGAAGCCATCTGGTCCTGGACTTTTGTTTGTTAGGAGTTTTTTATTCACAGTTTCAATTTAAGTATTTGTGATTGGCCTGTTCATATTTTCTGTTTCTTCTTGGTTCCATCTTAGGAGATTATACCATTCTAAATTTGTCCATTTCTTCCAGGTTATCCATTTTATATATATATATATATATATATATATATATATATATATATATATATATATATATATATATAGTTGCTTGTAGCAGCCTCTTATGATCCTTTTTATTTGGTTTGACTTCTTCTTTTTCATCTCTAGTTTTATCGATTTGAGCCTTTGTCTTTTTTTTCTTGATGAGTCTGGCTAAATGTTTGTCAGTTTAGTTTATATTTTCAAAGATCTAGCTTTTAGTTTCATTAGTCTTTTACTGTTTTGTCTCTATTTCATTTATTTCTTCTCTGATCTTAATGATTTCTTCCACAGTAAGTTCCTTACATGCAAACCTTTAAGTTGCTAAGTTTAAAAGATGCAGAAGTGTGTTCATATGTCCAGTTGCCTAAGTTAGTTTACATGTCTGGTGTACATTGCCATGTGTGTGCATCCTCTACAAATGGTTGTGGTACTTTTGTGTACTTTACAGTACTGTGTAGAGTACAGTAGTATAGTACCTTTATTTTAAGCTAAATCTACAAGGGGACAACTTCATTGAATTCATTGCTGTATAACACAAAGAACTTATTGATGAAGACCTAGTGTAACTGGAGGCCCAGAGAAAGGACAAATACAAAGAGGAGGAAGAAGCAACTGAAGAACAGAAGAGATTCATGACACAGGAAATGGCAAGGGGATTCTGTTTATTTAGGGAGGCACTGTTAGTTTTTGAGGAACAGGGCCCAAATGTAGAGAGGTACATGAAGGTTGCAACAGCCATTCAGTCAGTGCTACTGTGTCATCTGTGGAGAGAAAAAAAGATCTACTACTCAGACACCACTGTCTTGTTTTTTCCAAGAGGGTAAATACAATTGAATCCAGCAAGGAACCAGAACCCATGCCATCAGTGTTAGGCATGAGTGAAATTGCAACTTGCCCTGTTTCCTTTTCCTGACCATACTTCAGTTCTACCATCTACCACCTCCTTTCCCTCCTCCAGTTCTTGACTGTTTACACAATGTCACCCCCTGTATGCCAAGTGTTGTACTCTACTACTGTTCTTTTCAAGTTACTGTACTATAAGATTTAAAATGCTTTATTTTTCATGTTTTTTTAATGTATTATTTGTGTGAATAGTATTACAAACCTATTACAGTACAGTACTATATAGACAATTGTGTTAGTTAAGTACCTAGGGAACTTTGTTGGACGTATGAACAAATTGGACTTACAGACTCACTCTTGAAATGGCACTCATCCATATGTACTTTACTGACTTTTCAATTTTGATGTTCTTTCTTTAGTTGCTTTAGGTGTAAGGTTAGGTTGGCTGTTTGAGATTTTTGTTTCCTAAGGTACAATTATATTGCTATTAACTTCCCCCTTAGAATGGCTTTTGATGCTGTTTGGATCATTGTGCTTTCATTTTCATTTGTCTCTGTGTTTTTTCATTTTCTCTTGGATTTCCTCAGTGATCTATTGGTTGTTTAGTAGCATATTGTTAAGCTTCCATGTGCTTTTGTTTTTATTTATTTATATATATATTTTAAATGAAAATTCCTTATATTTCCCCACCAATTATTTATCAGTTTGTGTTTTCAGAACTTTTATAAAAGCATCTTTTGGAACTTCAAAATTGCCAACTTTCCTGAGTTTTTTCTTTTCTTCTGCTTGTCTCTTCAAAAGCTTCATTTTTCAGGTAATATCACCACCATAACATTTTGCCAAAACATTTTTCCTATAGGCTTTCACAGTTTCTCTTGCAATGATATTACTTCCAAGAGCAGCTTGAATTGCTATCTCAAACAGCTGCCTAGGAAGAGAATCCTTCAGACGTTCACATATGGCTTTGCCAACAGAGTATGCTTTACCTTTGTGTACAACAGTTACTAGCTCTTCTACAATATTTCCATTCAGTAGAATATCCATTTTTACAAGTTCTGCAGTCTGGTAGCCTGCATCTTCATAATCAAAACTAGCATATCCTGAAGACAGAGATTTCAAAGAATCATAAAAATCCACCACAATTTCATTCAAAGGGAAGAGATATTTAAGCATTACTCTATTTTGATCAATAAACATCATATTCTTCTGAACTGCTCTTCGATCCTGGCAAAGCATCATTATTTTCCCAGTATATTCATCTGGTGTGATAATGGTGCCCAAAACAACTGGCTCCAAATATTCTGTTACTTTTGACTTATCAGGGAACTGTGCAGGATTGATGATTGTAATTTCCTTTTCTCTGTATTCCTTTATCAATTTTGCTGATGAAAGAACAGCCTTATATGGAACAGTAGGGGTTGTCAAAATAACAGAAGCATTATATTCTTGTTCTAGTCGCTGGTTGAAAACTTCCATATGCAAAAGTCCAAGAAATCCTAACCTCCAGCCAGCACCTAGAGCAAGGCTACTATCCTGATGAACCGTCACACTGGAATCATTTAGTGTCAGTTTTTCTATAGCACTCTTCAGGTTATTATATTTGGATTGGTCTATAGGGTACACTCAGTTTATGAGTTGGCTGCTCATTAGGATTCAGGACTCCTACTTCATTAACTTCATATGTCTTTTGAGTGTGTGTAGATACAATTTTATCTCCTTTCGAAACCACTCCATCAAATAATGCTACATTGGCAGTCACACCCCTATACTGGTCAAAGGTGGAGTCAAATACCAAAGCTCTCAGGGGATTTCTGCAATGCGCTTTAGGAGAGGGTATCCTTTTGATGACTGCATCAAGAACACTTTCAACATTCGTTCCAAGTTTAGCAGAAATCTTAATACATTCGTCACCTGGAATATCAAACACCTTTTCAATTTGTTTTTCAACCCTTTCAGGATCAGCATTCTTCAGATCTTGTTTATAACTGGAATTATTGATAGCTGTGCTTCAAAGGCAAGAAGGAAGTTCGCTACTGTTTGGGCTTGAATACCCTCATTTGCATCAACCACAAGTAAAACACCTTGGCAAGCAGTGAGTGACCTGGATACTTCATAACTAAAATCAACATGACCCGGCATATCCATAAGATTTAAAAGATACCGCTTTCCTTCACAGTTATAGAAGAGAGATGCCGTCTGTGCTTTAACAGTGATTCCTCTTTCTCGTTCCACTTGCAATTTCTCAAGAACTTGTTTATTATTTTTTGTTTTATCAATTGCCCCTGTTAGTTCCAGGAGCCTGTCTGCTAAAGTACTTTTGCCATGATCCACATGTGCAACGATACTGAAATTTCTGCAAGCGTCCACATTCCCCTGCGCAACCGAGGCGTCAGAGGAAGGCCCCGGGACGCAACGGCGCCATCCTCCCCGGGCTCCGTTTTCTTCAAAACTGGCCCCCGCTAAGAGCTGGCAGACAGGATTCAAACACACTTCGGCCAGCGGCGGAAAAAACGTGAGGAAGAAACACCCCACATCTAGCTGCTGCGGCCAGAAGACCAAGAACCTGCTTTTGTTTTTAACAGGCTTTTTTTTTTTTTCTTTTCTTGTAGCTGATTTCTAATCTCACAGAGATTAAGATGGAAAGATGCTGAAAAGATGCTCACTCAGAAAAGATGCTCAATATGATTTCAAATATATTAAATTGACCAAGGCTCTCTTTGTGGCCTAGCATGTGATCAATCCTGGAAAATGTTCCAGGTACACTTGAGAAGAATATATATTCTGTTACTTTTGGATGGCATGCTCTATAAATATCAATTAGGTCTATCTGGTCTAATGTGTCACTTAAGGCATGTGTTTCCTTACCAGTTTTCTGTCTGGATGATCTGTCCATTGATGAAAGTGGGGTATTAAAGCCTGCAACTATTATTGTGTTACTGTTGATTTCTTCTTTTATAGCTGTTAGTATTTGCCTTACATATTGAGGTGCTCCTATGTTGGGTGCATAAATATTTACAGTTGTTCTATCTTCTTTGATGGATCTCTTGATCATCATGTAGGGTCCTTCTTTGTCTCTTGTCACAGTCTTTATTTGAAAGTCTATTTTGTCTGATATGAGTATTACTACTCCAGCTTCTTCTGATTTTTTTTTGCATGAAATACCTTTTCCTGTCCCCTCACTCAGTCTGTGTGTGCCTCTAGATCTGAAGTGGGTCCCTTGTCAACAGAATATATATGAGTCTTGTTTTTGTATCCATTCAGCCAGTTATCTTTTGGTTGGAGCATTTGATTCATTTACATTTAATGCAACTATCAATATGTGTGTTTTTATTGCCAATTTGTTGTTTTGAGTTTGTTTTTATAGGCCTTTTTTCTGCCCTTCCTCTTTTCTTCTCTTGTGATTGGACTGTCTTTAGTGTTGTGTTTGAATTCCTTTTTCTTTTTTGTGTGCATATCCATTGTAGATTTTCAGCTTGTGGTAAACCATGAGATTTTGAGATGGCAGTCTCTCTCTCTCTATATATATATAGGATTAAGTTGCTGGTCTTTTAATCTCAAATGCATTTCCAGTTTCCTGTGTTTATGCCCTCTTTTCACAGTTGCTCATTTTGATATCATATTTGTCTGCAGATTATTTCCTATCTTTATTGTATGTTTGTCTTTACCAGTGAGCTTTTCCATTTGTAAGGTTGTTTCTAGTTGTGGCATTTTCTGCTTAGAGAAGTTCCTTTAATATTTGTTGCAGAGCTTGTTTGGTGGTGCTAAATTCTTGTAGATTTTGCTTGTCTGTAAAGCTTTTAATTTCTCTTTCAAATCTGAACGAGAGCCTTGCTGGCTAGACTATTCTTGCCTGAATGTTCTTCCCTTTCATCACTTTAAATATATTGTGCTACTGCCTTCTGGCCTGCAGATTTTCTCCTGAGAAGTCAGATGATAATCTTATGGGAGTTCTCTCATATTTTTTGTTGCTTTAGTATTTTTTTGCCTTTAATTTTTGTCAGTTTGATTACTATATGTCTCAGCATGTTCTTCCTTAGGTTTATCCTGCTTGGGACTCCGTGCTTCCTGGGCTTGAGTGACTGTTTTCTTTCCCATATTGGGGAAGTTCTCTATTATCTCTTCAAATATATTCTCAGGGCCTTTCTCTCTGTCTTCTGCTTCTGGGACTCCTAAATGCGAACATTGGTGCATTTATATTTTTGTCCCAGAGGTCTCTTAGACTGTCTTCAGTTCTTTTCTTTCTTTTTTCTTTATCCTGTTCTATGGCAGTGATTTCCACCATTCTGTCTTCCAGCTCATTTACCAGTTCTTCTGCATCAGTTATTGTTATTGGCTCCTACTGTAGTTTTCATTTCAGTTATTGTACTGGTTCATCTCTGTTCTTTCATTCTTCATGGTCTTTGTTTAAACATCTCTTATGTTTTTAAAAAAAAAAAAATAAACATCTCATGTTTTTTCAGTCTGTGCCTCCATTCTTCTTCTGAGATCTTGGATCATCTTTACTATCATTACTCTGACTTTTTTTCCTAAGCAATTTGCCAATGTCCACTTAGTTGTTCTTCCAGGGTTTTATCTTGTTCCTTCATTTGGGACATATTTCTCTGCTGTCTCATTTTGCCTTTTGTGATTGTGGATTCTGTTCTGCAGGCTGCAGTGTTGTAGTTCTTTCTCTTGCTGTCTGCCCCCTGGTGATTGAGGCTGTCTTGTGCAGGCTTCCTGGTGGAAGGGACTGGTTCCTGACCACTCATGGGTGGAGTTGGGTCTTGTCCATCTGGTGGGCAGGGCCATGTCAGGGAATGTGATTATTGGGCAGCTGTGTGCTCAGAAAGACTTTAAACAGCCTGTTTGCTCATGGGTTGGACTGTGTTCCCTCTCTGGCTGTTTGGCCTGAGGCATCCCATCACTGGAGCCTACAGGCTGTTGGGTGGGACCAAGACTTGGTGAGAAAAAGGCAGCTTCCAAGAGGACTCATGCCGGTAAGTATTCCCCAGAACTACTGTAGTGAGCCATAGCCACCCTCCAGTTCTGCAGGAGACCCTCTAGTACTTGCAGCTAAGTCTGCCCCAGCTTCCTAGGAGGTTACTGCTTTTTCTCCTGGGTCTTGGTATACGTGAGACCCTGTGTGCACCCTTCAAGAGTACAGTTTCTGTTTCCTCCAGTCCTGTGAAATTCCTGTGATCAAACCTCACTGGCTTGAAAGCAGATTCTTTGGGGGCTACTCCTCCTGTTGCCAGACCCCCAGGCTGGGGAGCCTGACATGGTGGCTCAGAACTTTCTCTCCTGTGAGAGAACTTCTGTGGTATAATTGGTATAATTATTTTCCAAGTGTATCCCATACACTCTGTGTGTACGAGATTTAATTTTATCACGATTGTGTCCCTTCTACCATCTTGTTGTGGCTTCTTTTTCTCTCTTTGGATGTAAGGTGTCTATTTTGGTAGGTTTCAGTGTTTGTTTGTTTTGTCAGCGGGGTTCAGCAGTTAGTTGTGATTTTGGTGTTTCTGTAAGAAGAGGTGACCTGGCTTCCTTCTACTCTACCTTCTTGTGTCCTCTCAAAAAGGATTTGTCTTTTCAGAACTGGAGAACTGGAGGCAGTGAACTGGCTGCTGGCTGATTGCTGGCCATCTGCACTTACAGGGCCAGGCTCCGTCTTTTCCACTCTGATGTGGGGTGGTGGGAAAGGAAGGCAGGAGGCAGCCGCTGCTGCCAAACACCTCCTCTGCTACCTTTTTACTTTTTAAATGTGGCTTCTAGAAGATTTAAAATTACATATTGGTGCACATTATATTTCTGTAGGTTAGCTCTGATCTAGAGTGCCATGAGGTGTGGGAGGTAAGAAAAGAGGCTATAGTAGGCCAGAAAATGTTAGAGCATGCAGGGCTTGTGATAAGGAAATGGAAACTGTACATTTAAAAAGCATTGGCTGAAAGCCTCCTAAGTGCCAGACAGACACTGTTCTGGTCATTTGGAATATGTATCAATGAATGACAGGATCCTTGCAGCGTTTACATTTTAGAGAAGGTAGTAGGGGGAGGGTGTCAACAAACAACAAAAACAAATAAGCAAACACAAATACTAGAGTATGTTGGGAACATTAAGAGCTATGGAGAAAAAAGGAGTTGAGCCAGGAATGCTGGAGGTGTGTCATGGAGTGAGGATCTTTGCCTTCTGTTAAGGTGGGATGGTTGAGGTTGACCTATTGAGGTTTATTTTGAGCAGAGAATTGAAGGAGCTGCAAGCCTGAGCCACATGTTTATCTGGGGTAACTTTTCAGAAAGAGGGACACAAAGCAAATACTTAAGGAGGAGAAGGCCTGGTGTGTTATAGAAAAAGTAAGCTTGGTGGTATAGAGCAGAGTGAGTTTTGAGGATAGATAGGAAGGAATTCAGAGAGATAAGGGGAATGTGCAGGTCTCATGGAGAAGAGTAGAAGCTGGAAGACCAGTTAGAAGATTATTTCAGTAATCAGATAAGAAA